ATAAATAGAGGTCTTCTCCTCAACAAAAAAAAAACAAGCTATGTGCCAAATGATTCTTTTGAAGGTTCAGCGTCACTACATACATGAAAAAAATCTTCCTCCCAAATATGGTTGAACATCATATGACAGTTAAAGGCTATAGATGATTTTTTTTCTTCTGGTTGTGTTAAAATGTTTTCCCCTTGACATTTACCTTCCAGCATTAAAATACGAGAAGTAAATTTATGAAATTTATATATCCTGCCAAATAATACATTTTACTTAGTATTTTTTAGGTCGGAATATCAAACAAACAACAGCATAGAGATAGGGACTAGACAATATACGTCCACACTAAACTTTGAATAATCAAAAATAATCTTTCAATTAGGGGAGAGACCCATTCATGAACATCACCAAAATGTTTAATCTTAATTATCCTTAAATACTAAATAACCCCAAGGCGGGAGCATGTTTACCCTATTTGCATGGTTCATAAAAATCTAATAGAGGTCTACTAAGCAATGTTACATGATAAATATGTAAGCTCTAAACACTGAAGTTGCCACAAAAGGTCTGATGTGTTTTCTAATACATCTATTATTATTGCGTGTGATGTCAGGGGTCGTGGTTAATACGAGTATAACTTTTGAAGAAGACTAACTTGTAACAAGAAATGTGTCCACAGGATACAGGTGCACGCAGACATTTTACTGTCTACTGACATGCTGTAGGACAATATGACAGAATGACAGAAAAGGAAATTCTACATGATTCCAACTACTCCTTAACATTCATTTTTCCAATGTTGACATACTGCTTTTTCCCAACCATAGATGCACAGCTAATCATGCTCACCAATAGTCCCTAAAAACTTTCATGACTTAAGGTCAAATTCTTTTTGACACTGAATAATATTTAGACGTCGAAGGTCTTAATGGCCTTAATTTTAGAGTGACACAGCTTAAACTTCTTAGTTTAGTCTGTACTAGACATAAAATTTGGAAAAAAGGTTCAATAGGTAACAATTAACTAGAACTATCGCTGAATGCGATTCATACCCCAACCAATGTCCTTGACAGAAGACGACTTGGAAAGGTGGTTAAGAGAATAACTTTATCGGCACAAATACATATACATAAAGAGAAATTATCTCTGGTGAAAAAATACTAATTGTACAGGTATTAGTATAAATATATATTGGTAAATCATGTTCGAAACAGTTACAAATAACCTTTCATTTTCCCAATGTACTAGACATTTTCTAAGTCAATTTTTGACCTTTAAGTGTGGCCTTGAACTTAAGCTGGCACAATGGTAAGATGGGTTCTGCACATTACCCAGTTGGGGTGAACATTTGAGTAAAGTTTGAAGAAAATCCTTCCATTAGTATAGAATTTATAGAGCGGACATGACATATTGTCTAGTATTGATTGTATGTAAACTTAAAGACTTAAAAAGGGCCATAACTTTGTCAAAATGCAATACAGAGTTATGAAACTTGACCTGCATATCTTATTTGTGACACCTCATATATCTTCTAAGTTTCAAGCAAATATCTGTGCTAGTTTCAGAAATATTCAAGTACATGTTAAAATTTAAGAACATTTTCTGAGTCAATTTTTGACCTTCAAGTGTGACCTTAGCCTTTGGCCAGCACAAAGGTAATATGTATTCTGCACATAACCTTGTTGAGGTGAACATTTGAGTAAAGTTTGAAGAAAATATTCAATTAGTATAGGATTTATAATGCGGACACAACATATTGTCTTATATTTGATTAATGTAAATTTGAAGACTTAAAAAGGGGCATAACTTTGTTAAAAAGCAATTCAGAGTTATGAAACTTGACCTGCATATCTTAATTGTGACATTTCATATATACTTTAAGTTTCAAGCAAATACCTTTTCTAGTTTCAGAAGTATTCAAATACATGTTAAAATTTAAGAACATTTTCTAAGTCAATTTTTGACCTTCAAGTGTGACCTTGACCTTAAGCCGGCAAAAGGGTAACATAGGTTCTGCACATATCCTTGTTGAGGTGAACATTTGAGCCAAGATTGAAGAAAATCTTTCAATAAGTGTAAGACTAACAGAGCGGACACGACATACTGTCTAATATTTCATTGTTTGATATTTGACCTTCAATTGTGACCTTGACCTTGAGCTGACACATAAGCAACATGGATTCTGCTCATCCCCCTGTTAAGGTGAACATTTGAGCCAAGTTTGAAGAAAATCTTTCAATAAGTGTAGGAGTTACAGAGCGGACACGACATACTGTCTAATATTCATTGTTTGATATCTGACCTTCAAGTGTGACCTTGAGCTGACACATTGGCAACATGGGTTCTGCTCATCCCCTTGTTAAGGTGAACATTTGAGCCAAGTTTGAAGAAAATCTTTCAATAAGTGTAGGAGTTACAGAGCGGACACGACATACTGTCTAATATTTCATTGTTTGATATTTGACCTTCAAGTGTGACCCTGACCTTGAGCTGACACATGGGCAACATGGGATCTGCACATCTCCTTGTTAAGGTGAACATTTGATCCAAGTTTGAAGAAAATCCTTCAATTGGTATAGAATTTATAGAGCGGACACGAAAATGGAGACGGACCGACCGACCGACCGACGGACGGACGCGGCAAAGCGAATCCGTTATAGCCCCCACCCCTCCCCCACATTTTGTGGTTGGGGTATAATTATATTGTCAAAGTAAAGCATTGATTTTTACAATTGGTAGGATAACATAACTCATGCTTTGACAACTAACTTAGATATCCCTTAATGCATGACACAGACAAGAATTTCTTAGTTAACTTTAACCTCTAAGTATAACCTTGACCTTGAAGGAAGGGGTCTTGGTCTTGCTCATGACACACCATCTCATCATGCTATACATTTGTTTGTAATTGTTTCAAAATCCCTTGATGAACGTAATTATGGGATGGGCATCTGACATTTGACCTCTAAGTATGACCTGAGACTGCATGAGACATATTCTCATCATGCTAAACCTTTCCGCCAAATTGTTTTAACATCCACAGAATTATGGGCTTATCAAGATTTTATTCCTTCTAACCTTTGACCTCTAAGTGCGACCTTGATTTAGGAGTTTGTGGTCTAGGTCCTGCGCATAACAAACTGACTCATCATGGGTAACATTTGTGTCAATTTTTTTTAAACAAGAGCTGTCGGAAGGACAGCACGCTCGACTATTCTAAGTGCTTGATAGTAAAAGAGCCTTGATAATGTTAAATTTTTTAAGATCACAAAAGGTCTAATTTTTTTTTAATAAATTCATGTTATAGGCCTTAGAGAGAGTCTAATTATACAGTATTGGCTTGACTATTCGGAAGGTAATGTCACAAGGTTGTTTTATTGAGTATAATAATACTAATTACCTATGAATACAAAAATTTGACAGAAAAGGTACAAAGGGATTCTAATTAAGATGTTTTATCAAGTAAATCACTGCTTTATTATTATGAATGCATAAAATTGTCCCAAAAAAGCACAAACCCTTCAGTAGTAATTGAGATAACAGCTTACAAGCAAAAACTTTACCATGAATTTCTAAGTTGAAAAAGGGAGAAAAATCAGCCTAAATGCAAGATAGAATTATGGATCTTTGTCAGTGACCTACAATTATGACCCTAAATGCATATGTGAAGTTTTAAATAAATATCTTTAATAGTTATTGAGATATGTAAAACTTGCATGTTAACATTAACCAAGAGACTAAGTAGAAAAGGGGATATGAATCAGCCTTAATGCAAGATAGAGTTATGAAACTTGGTCAGTGACATACAATTATGACCCTCCAATTATGACCCTAAGTGCATGTGTAAAGTTTCAAGTAAATATCTTTGAAGACCTTTAACCTTTAACCAAAATTTCTAAGTTTCAAAGGGGCAAATAATTCTTCAAATTTTGCAGGCAGAGTTATGCAATTTTGCAAACTGATGTACATTGTTACTATAAAAAAGTATTTTAAATTTCAATTGAATATCTCAAGCAATAATTGAGATATTTGACTTTACAAAAGAACTTTAACCAAAATTTCTAAGTTCCAAAGGGGCATAATTCTGTCAATATTGTAGGCAGAGTTATCCAACTTGTCAATCTGATGTACCTTGTTACTATAAATAAGTATATTGTAAGTTTCAATTGAATATCTCAAGCAATAGTTGAGATATTTGACTTTACAAAAAACTTTAACCAAAATTTCTAAGTTAAAAAGGGGCATAATTCTGTCAATATTGTAGACAGAGTTATCTCACTTGTCAATCTGATGTACCTTGTTACTATAAATAAGTATCGTAAGTTTCAATTCAATATCTCAAGTAATTATTGAGATATTTGACTTTACAAAAAACTTTAACCAAAATTTCTAAGTTAAAAAGGGGCATAATTCTGTCAATATTGTAGGCAGAGTTATCCAACTTGTCAATCTGATGTACCTTGTTACTATAAATAAGTATTGTAAGTTTCAATTGAATATCTCAAGTAATTATTGAGATATTTGACTTTACAAAAAACTTTAACCAACGCAGACGCCGACGCGGACGCCGACGCCGACGCCGGGGCGACTACAATAGCTCTCATATTCTTCGAATAGTCGAGCTAAAAACACTTGATGCATGACAAGATATGGGCTGGACAAGATATTCCACTGACTGGCCTTTGATCTCCAAGTGTGACCTTGACCTTGGAGCTAGCATTCTAGTTCTTGACATGAAACACCGTCTATTTATACTACACATTAATGCTTAATAATTTCTAATTCCCTTGATGCATGACAGAGGTATGTGCCAGACAAGGACTTTTAACACATGCATGCATCGACGGACAGAAATAACACAATATGCCCCCATGCCATTATCATGACGAGTACATAACACAAGCAATCCGCCCGCACTTTATGGATTTTCCCTCAATACGACAAATTGTCGCACAAATGGTTTCAAGCTGATCTAAACAAATGTGAAATTTAAAATGTTAAATTATAATTACATTTGATGCCAAATTCCTCATGCTCCTGTCCTTGTTTGTCTTGATTTTCTTGATGGCCAGCGGAATATTGAACACATTGTTACCTGAAACACATTATTCCTTACTTATATCAATTGGGCTCTAGATGAGCATACTTTAAAAAGAAAAAGAGCGATTCTTAATCACATGAGTTGCCTAATGATAGTCCATTCAGCAAGTGTACTGAAGGGTGGTTGGACAGTTTGTTCTTATTATGTTGCGGCTACTTTGTTAGCATGTTGCAGCTACTGTATTGCAAGAGAAAAACATAAACATTCAAAACGCTTTGTTATACAAGGGTCATAACTCAGCCAAAAATCATTCAACCGTATTAGCCATTAAATATGCGTTATTACTTGAGGTGCTAATCAATCTTGTAAAGTTTCTTTCAAATTCCTAAGACATAATAGAAATAATTCGGACACAAGTTTAACATAAATATATTAAAGAGCCATATCTTTGACAAAAATCATTATTTCAGTGTTCCAACAAAGAAGAGAAATCAAAATTCCTGACTTTTCCATGACCAAAACCATTTTTTCCTGACCAATAACAGCATCAAGTTTGCACAATCTTAGAGCATTAAATGCATTTTTTTACATTTCGACCTCCTTATCTCCATATTAGCCAACCTCTTTTCTCCAATTTTTTATTTTAAATTATTTCCGATATTGTCATAAGCTACTTGTATTGTTTACTTTCATCAAGTATGATTACATTTATCCAGAATGTAAAGTATTTGATAAGATATGGCATGATCAAAGATTTGTCATTCTCTTAAAAATAAAAAGCAGTGTAATCAATGAAGAATTGACTAAAACAGGCATACATTTAACTAAAATATATGTTAGTAAAAAATTGAAAACTGTTGTTGAAAAAGAAACAATTAGACAGGTAATGGAGTGGCTACATAAAAAGCAAAATGCAGTAAAAGCTAATAATACTAATATACAGCAGAGAATATACATAACTAGCTATGGCAGTTCGTATCTCAAAGTTATGGTTAAATTCATGCGTACAAAAGCACAACAGGGCACTGAATATAATTGGTATTTAATAATAATTTACTGTCTAAATGTTTTCATTAGTTTCTCAATATATTTACAGGATTCTTTTATAACTTTTCTTTGACCTTGCCCCTTAAAGAATTGGACTTGGCACTGGACTTCACAAGCAAGTCCATTTTCATCTTTTTTTAAGCCTGAGCTGTGCCAGATTTTCAGATTCTTTCACAAGAACAAACCATAAAGAGCTCAGGAGGCAAGGAACCCTTAAACCCCTTTCAACTTCTTCCTTAATAAGTTAGTTACAGTAAATTGCAAAAAAATATCCAAAACTTCAGGCATAAGCATATTTGTAAGAGTAAAAGAAATATAAAAAGAAAAACACGGTTATAATCATAAATAACAATAAAGATACCCATATAAATGGAAGAAACTGCCTTAGCCTTTACCAATTTCTAATGTTTGCGTAGTCCAGACAGGACAGACAGACAGGCAGATGGTCAGACAGACATGCAGACAGACAGACGATTGACCAGTGGCATGTATCAACTATTATGGCGCAGACAACACAAAAATAACAAACAGGCCAAAATGCCTTTTTCATTCAAGGGCCAAAACTCAGTCATAAATCATTTAACCAGAAAACCCATGAAATATGCACAAGTACTTAAGCTACCATTTATTCATGTAAAGTTTTTTTTTAAATTGCATCAGTAGAATAAAAGAAGTAATTCGAACAAAAGCATAAAAGAGGCCATTGTTACCCTGACAAAATCAGTGAACCGAAAAATGCTGAAAATATGCATAGCTTGACTTGGTACTGATCATTCCCCTATTGTTTGACTCAAATGAAAACAGTTGTTATCTAGCAGTAGTCTGGGCAAGTTTTAAGATAGACTGACAGATAGACAGACGTATGACAGACGAAGAAGTGATCCCTTTATGCTGCCACTACTCTGTAGCAGGCAACACAAAAACATGACATTAAAATTTCACTCACATATTAAGGACTCCACAAATTTTAACCAAAAGATACCAAAAACATTTAACATTTAATATAGACTCGGCCACTTAAGCCAGAAAGAAATACAAAAGATAAAGAAATAAACTCAAAATTGAAAATAAAAATCATACATTTGTTTTTATTTGCCACTGCTAGATCTGGTCCTGATAAGAATAGGCTTAGGATTTAAAGGCTTTTAAACGCTTTGCATTTTTTTGGGTCAGTTTTCACAAGCGGAAATACGAATTTAGTGAATGATCTGTTATTTGGGTCAAGACCTATATCTAATGGTATATAAATCATGAAAATATTTCAAGCGCAATAAATCATTTTTATACAATATTTAGATTTAAAGGGATATAATGCTTTCCGGTAAATGCAACAATTCAAATTTGCATAGTATCGATGATCAAGTATTTCAAGTGTCATGTGCCCACATTTCATAGTTTTGAAATCATTTCATTTAATGGGCAATTTTGATAAAAAAAGCTTAAAATGGGCATAACTCCAAAAAGATAGCTTTTAGAATAATACCCCTTGTCCAACTCCTATGCTTCATGTCGATATCTGTCCTAGTTTTGAAATCATTATTCTTAATAACAAGCAATTTTGACAAAATTCAAAGTTCATAAATATACCTTTTAGTATAATGTCCCTTGTCTAACAACTTAGCCTTGTCTTGATAAGCGAGTATTCAAAGTTTCATTTTGATACTGAAAATGTCGTTTTTTAATAATATGCTACAGTGATGTTTTTGCACGATGCACAACAATGCAGCGAACATAATAGCTCGGCTTTTTCTTCGAAATGGGCGAAATTACAAGTTCTTACAATGAAGACCTACGTTTACCGAATGCAATACCAAGCAAAGTCTTGCACAACAATATAGCCTTAAAAAGCAGACAAGACACCAAATGATGTTTGTTTTTATGGATATTTAGTAAATTTTAACATATTTTTGGTCTTTTTATTGAAGTCATTGTACCTTATTGGCTTTCCTAGGTACTAAACAAGTAATTACCAAATTCTCCAAAAGTGATCAATTACTAATCCAATATATATATATATATATCTCTTTATGGATCAGCAATAAGAGACAAATTACTATTAGACTCAAAAATGTAAAAATAATACATAACTAATGGTGACTAGTGACTCTTAGGACCAAAGGTAAGTTCTACCATACAAGGAAAACATAGGTAAACAAAAGCTGTCACATGAAAGTGTCGAATGGCTCCGAAAAGGTTCGTAAGTATTGCAGAAAGGTATTATGAAAAGAAAAAGCTGTAGAAGTTAATAATTGCCTAATATTGCTCTTGTGAAATGAAATTATATCCATAGCAAACGTACCACCGAGAACTTGCAGGTAAACACATGGCTCTTAGACACAACACATCGTCTTGACATGTATGCTATGTTATGTAAAAATCCTTCAATGCATGGCAAAAGTTCAGTCTGGACACGAATATTTGTACATTTAAGCTTTAATTGTGTTCATGTGAACCTTTAAACTGTAAGTGTGACCTTGACCTTTGAGGTAGGGACATGGATCTAAGACCGGATGATTCATAAAAACTTTTGTAGGAAGATACTAGGCAATGCTAAATGCCAAATATTTATGCTCTGAGCATTCAAGCTGTCCAAATAATGTAAGGTGTGTTTTCCTTCACATTGATCTACATAAAGCAAGTAACCCTAGGACAAGGCCAATTTTGACCATGGTTTCATGATCAATATATCTCTTTGTAGTATACTACATGCGAAGCATCTAAGTTATGGGATATGTGAGCCCAAAAAAAACATGACAAATATCTTAGCTCTGGGGCCTTAAATGAAATATTGTTTGTTTCCCTTCCCGCTAACTACCCAAAACGAGAGTGATGAGAGTTCACACGTGTCACAATAATGAATTGTATTAAGTGGTGATTTGAAAGTTTTAGAAGACCTGTTCGCACACATTGCCCACCACTTTTCTCAGTGATGGATAATTTGCAAAATTTGATCATGTACGTATCATTTCTGTTAAGTTAGGATGAAATTGCACCAGTAGTTTTAAGGAGCAGTGTGGAAAAATTTTGTGATGGACAGGGAAATGAACAGACAGACGGACAGACAGACAACTGAGAAGTGATCCCTATATGTCGCAGATACTGTGTTGAGTAATAGGCGATACAAAAATCATTAGAGGCCTAAATGACGAAATGACTAAACTCGGCCAAACATTAAACCGAAAGTCCATGAAATATACATAATCACTTGAGGTAAAAACAATGTAGTATTTACTTCAAATTTTATCAGTAGAATAAGAGAATAAGTCCAGCCTAGGCCAGTTTCCACTTATTCTTATTTCGAAAGTCAAACACATCAGAGGAAGACAAACAAAGGCATATAATGCCTCAGAAACGTACTTTTTAAAATGATAAACATGGATTACATGTAAATACCTTTTAAATAATGGTTTTACATCATGTTAGATGCTTGCTGTCAGGAAAAAGTAACGATAACTGTGAAATTATTTGTCAAGAAAGTTGCAAAATGTACATTAAGTAGTATTTTGATTCCAAAAGAAAATACTAAAACACTATAACTTTACTTACTGCCAAAAACAACAGCAGACAACTAAACGGCCATTGTCATGGCGTGAATACCCCCGCATAACACTTTGTCAGAATTAACAGTGGCCATTTAGAGCTCAAGGACAAACTCCCTGCCAAATCAGAGGTTACTAAGCCAGTGCATTTTTAAATTATGTATTCTACATGCTTTAAATATGAAAATGTCAAAATCAATACACTGCGGACAGGCATTCTTAAGCATTTGAGCAGAAAAGCTTATTATAACAAAATCCCTGTGACCTTGACCTTTGACAGTCACCTAAAATTCAAAAGGGGTCATCTACTAGTCATAAACAATCTCAACACCAAATATGTCTTTAAGACTGTTAAGCAAAGCATTCTTAAGCAATTGAAGCAATTGTACCGTCAAGCATTTATAGTCAAGGCCCCTGTGACCTTGACCTTTGACCCAGTGACTTCAAAATCAATAGGGGTCACCTAAT